ACTTGGACAACCAACTCGTCAATTCCCTTTTACATTCCACTCGACAGACAGGCCTGGAGTGTGATGTCCCCATATCAGCTTTATCAGTGTATGCCCAATCCAATCCCACCCATCTCCACTTTCTTCTTCTGCATATTTGTTGTGCTATGAGTTCTTAGTTGGTTCGTTGCCCGCCAGCCAGCCAGCCAGTTCCGGTTGTAATTTTGAATCCAGTGCATTTTTCAGTCTCTCCAGGATGATGAGGCATAATATTTTGCTTGGGGTGGACAGGGACACCCACATGAATCTTTACCACCTCTCGCAAAAACTTACTTAAATCTCCCTTCTTTGGGAAATTGACAGGGCAACCCTTCTTCCAATCAGTGTGCAGGTACCTTTCCTTCCCCCCTTCCTTCCAAACCTTCTGCAATAGTGGTGTGAGCATGTCTGCTGTTGTCTCTGCATCTGTTTCCAGTGCTTCTGCGTCTATCTCTGCCCTCCCAGATAGTAACCTGGTTATTTGATATAATGTTGTCAGGTCTCTGTCTCTCCTACCAGCCCTCAGACTGTTCTGCTTCACTTGCCAGTGTGTCGTAGAAGTGTCTTCTGTCTTTGCGCACACTCTTCTTCACTTCTTTGTTCAGTTTAGTGTTTTATATGTTGTATTCACTTCCTCTTTCTCTTCTTCATCCCTGCACTGAACTACACTACACTACACTACACTTCACTACACTGGTTCATCTTCTGCTTCTGCTTCATCATCACCACCACCATCACCATCTTCCTCTCCCTGCTCTATCAGCTTCCATCTGTACGTGGAGATTCATTCATTGTCTTTGGCTCTTCTTCTTCTTCTTCCTTCCTTCCTTCCTTCCTTCATGACACGGTTATCCAGGCTTCCTTCTGCATAGCTTTCAAAGAGTTCCAGTCTTCTTCCACACAGCTTTCTTCACGGATGTTGCTCAATGTCTCCCACCTATTCCTGATGACTATAACTATGTGAAGATGTCCCATGTAGCTTCGTCCTTCAGTTCAGTCCAGTTCAGTTCAGTTCAGTTTGTGTTCTAGGTGTTCAACTTGAACTGTGGCCGTCTATCACCAACTACTTTCAAGGCTTCCAACTCGATTTTGAAGGTAGTTTCCTTGCACTAGATAGTGATGTGAGTGGTGCAAGTGGTGTGAACCACCTACATCTGCTCACCTTCCTCATCTGATCTTGTGTCCAGTAGGCTGTGTCTACATCTCCACTTTCTTCACATTGAGATCAAGTCGATCTGATTTGTAGTGTAGTGTGTCCTGGTGTCTGGTCAAATCAAATCCATGTCGCTGCCGTCTGAACATCCCGTATGTTTGTACACACCTCCTTGCCACCAATCACCGGATCGTTGAGTGTGCACAAATCTGAAAACAGTTCTCCATTCTCATTCATCATTTCACCGAGTGCTTCTCGACGCATGATCAGTTCTCTTCTTCCTGTGTTGACTGCTCCGAGTTTGTCATTCATGTCGCTCCACCCATTGTAATTTTCATGTCTCCATCTGGTGTGTGTGTGGTCTTGTCCAGTACTGATTGCAGTTGTCTGTGGAATTCTCCCTTCTTCTTCTCGAGATCTGAATTATTTGTAGGTGTGTAGCATGGCGTAGCATTGTATGATTGTAACTTTCTTTCCCTTTGATTTCAATCTCGCTTTCATGATCGTGGAGGAGACTGGTTCCCACTGCATTGGAGAGAGCCTTCGATGTTCTTGTGAGTGTGACATCATGATAGTCACTCGAAAACTCAGTGTGTTTGTGGTTGTCATCTGGGTGACAATATCAGAATAGATTATAAACTCTCCAGTTGACAGTTGAGAGAGAGAGAGAGTCCGCTTGCATTCCACCTGCTTCCGAAGATTCCTAGCACTTCTCTGCCATACGTTCTCAACTCTTGCAATCTGGGCAGCCTTACTAGGTTCATACATGGTGCGGACATTCCATGTCCTCATCCTTACTTTTGGTTTCATCGAGAGAAGAGTAGACAGAGAGGCTAATTGGCTTCCCGGAGGCTTTCACCAACCGGCATCATTTTGCCTCTCCGATTCCAGTGAGGAATGAGTTTAGTTTTATGTTCGGTGTTTTCTTGTGCTTTGAAGTTTCTTTAGCGATTGGATTTGTATTCCGTGATAGGGTTGTTAATCTTATATCCAACCTTCTCTTTTTATCCGAGCTTAGGACTGATTAGTATCTGGTTAACTGGTAAACTGTGCTTGGTGTTTGGTGAATAACTCAGAATATGTATTCAGCTTGTTTCTTCGAATACACTGCTCTGGGATTGCGCCAGTAAATTACGTTTTATACAGTAAGGAACTATCACTGTGCTGATGAGCTTTTTTGGCCATTATAATTCACTTGCAACAGCACTTCGATCTCTGTTGATTTTGTATGTCAGCATGAACAGGGATTGGGAATATAATTTTAAATTGCACTACTTGATGTAGTACACGAATTTCCTTATTTTATTCATGCACCTGCTCTCTGCATCATTTCTCTTGGAGTTGCTGTAAAGGCTATTGTGATTTTGCAACGGTGGTGATCAAATACCCTTTTAATGTTCATTGTGTTTGTTACGTCAACTGCAATTTAACACTGCATCATTTAATTTTAGTAATTTCTTTCATTCTGGGTGTTAGCTAATCTGCAGTCTTCATTACCTTTTTAGTCGGGCTAGCTGCATGTTGTGGTTTCTGGCTGCAACACTTGGAGACGAGGGTTTGAATCTCTCAGGAGAAATCAGTCCCATTTAGGTCACACATTAGCCTCACTGATACTTGTCAACAAACGAGAAACCTAGGTCTGTAGCACCCTACCGACCTTTCATGAACAATCGAAATGCGCCTCAATGCTGGATCCTTTAGTTTTAATGACCATATCGTAAGATGATAGGTACAATATACTCAGCACTAGGACTAGATAATATGAAATTATCCATTCTTCAATCTAAGTCCAAGACTTTCAGCTGTCGTGATAACTAAACTATGAATGAGACAGTAAAAAAATAAAGCAGTTTGTTCATTTCATGGATTATTACGATTACAATCTTCGAAGTAGATGCAATTACAAGAGCACGTCATTGGGTTTTTTTCTGTACAACCTTGTTGTTTTATTTAGAATGAATGTTATATGACACTTGAAGCATTCAGTAATTATGACTGGTTTGTCCTATCGGAACAAATAAAACAGGAAAACAAAGGAGAGGTTATAGCTTTTTACAGATGACATCCATCTTAAACTAAACACTATAGTGTAGGACCAGTTATTTAGGTTTGAATGACATTGTGAACTTTTACTTCACGATGCAAACTTTAACCGTTCATATAATGATAAACCTATAGTGAGCAGATCGGTGAATCAACCTCTGTTACTCCCTTTCACTTGTTTAAGAATCGTATAAGCATTACAAGACTTCTTTCTCTGCCCTAAAACTATTTGCCTAAAGCCATTTTATTCCGCAGTAACCCCAGTTATTTATGTAATTAATCTTTGTTTTTATCTCAAACCTATATGAACTATGGAAAAACAAGTATTATTGAACCGATATTTTATTCTCCTTTGAGATTCCTTAGCAATCTACAGACATGAGTCCATATATAATAGAAAGAATGGTTCTGAAGTTTCATAGTGAGCGCCTTATCATTCACTCACTCCACCGTAATTCGCTAATTATTTGAATCATATTTGCAACTGCTAAGTCATCCACTTGTCATGATCTTGAAAATGGTAATGTATGACCAATCTCAAAGATGAATTAAACAACCTCAAGTTATACGCTGACAGGATAAACTTCGAATCACAAACTGGTTGATACACCTTACGAAAACAATTAGGAAGGGGGAGGGGGGCTTGAAGATAAAACTGAATAGCCACCTACATGATTTCCATCGGTTCTTTATCTGATACACATTGGCACCAAAACTGGTAATCTTTCAACTCGAAATTAAACTAGACCTCATTCTTCATTGAATATGTCTTTGCAATGCGGTTAATTGATTCATCATCTTAAACTACCATAATATCAGTAGAATATTATATATATATATATATATATATATATATATATATATATATATATATATATATATATATATATATATATATATATATATATATATATATATATATATATATATATATATATATATATATATATATATATATAACCAAGAGGTAGTGGACAGCTATTTCATTTCACTTAGGAGCTCCACAAGAAAGTGCTCTGCAGTGATCTAAGACGATGCGATTGAAAAAGACGACACTGAATGATAATAGCTAATTGATTTACAGTGAAGAATTAGATTCAGCTTCAATAGCTAGATGATAACAAGCGTAATACTTTAATCTCAATTTCATGCAGAGAGTTCTAGGTACGTATTGTTGAAGAATATAGGGCCATGGTGAAATAATCGTCCAGTACTGTTTGATTTTCAGTCTTTTACTAGCTGCTGTCTGTTGATTATGCAGATGCTTCTTTCTTACTAATTATTACAACAAAAATATGACGACATTGTATATACTAATATCTTTATTACTGCAAAGTTGATATCATTTGAATATACAACACTATGAACTAATTACCCTTGGAATTCCAAAATTTATCCACCCTCCGTTGATCTCAAGTCAGTGCTCAGATAACGGAGTCTTGAAACAATAAACCTACTTTTGAATTTTTCTATCAAATTCCAGCTATTGCTATCAGCAGGTCTAATCATTTAGTGATATATCTTACCGTCTGTTGTACTACATAAGTCAATTTTCCTCAAAACAACCTAGTTTATTCTTTTCCACTACAACATCTCATTCTGATAGAGGGATTTTATGACACTTTACAAGTACCAGCCTTAAAGTGTTAGATCTCTGGTTCGAGAACATGGAGACCACTTGATAAACCATCCTGCTGTTTACTTAAACTGAAGTACTTGATATCTATGATGTCTTTTGTTCTTATTTTTTAATATTTGTGCCTTTTTATCTTATTCAACATGCAAGGACTTCATCGCTTCAAACGGATAATTGGTGGACAATCTGTACCACGTGGTACCTATCCATGGGCGGCGTCAATCCAGGCTAAACGCCACACATCATGGTCAACTTTAGTTACAGGGACTGAACAGCATTATTGCGGTGCTGCTTTAATTCGACCCGATTGGGTGATAACAGCTGCTCATTGTCTATATGACCAAAGTGAAGATGATGAAATGATAAGGTAAATTGGTTAACACTTATTCAAGTTAAACACTACATTGATTTATTCGGTTACAATTACACGGCATCTCTTATATTCGACAAAACAATGAGAACATATAATTCGTCTGAATCATATATTTGTGCAACACATTTTGAACAATCTCGTCACACACACCTGTCAATGGCATTCATACGAAAGGTTATAAAGAGATAAGGGTTGGAAATCTGAAACTAGGCCAAGTAGTAAGGTTAAATTAAAGGTCAAAATGACAATAACCAATGACAATAGAGCAAAAATAAAAATCATAGTTTCACAGTTGAATTCACCAAGAGAGGTTTAATATGATAAATTGTTTTTGAATACAGGGTAAGGGTTCAGCAGCCGAATAGCTAAGGCTTCGATAAATTGTAGGATCTGTCCTCGACATGTTTTGTAAATATATCTAAAGGATGTGGAAACGTTAATAAAGGTGACTAATTGTTCTAAATTTCTTACGATGAAATATGCATATTCATTCACAACAAAAACAAGGCATATCATTCCGATTTGGGAGGATTTAGTGATTTTCCAAGTTGGTATTCATCATGGACTGACATCAGTTGGAGGAACATTAGAAACCTGGGAGCACTGGATAGCTGTTTCGTCCTGGTGGGGTCACAGGTATAAACTGCTGAAGAGTCCCGTATTAGGACGAAACAGCTGTCTCGTGCTCCTACGTTTCCGGTGTTCCTCCAACTGATGTCAGTTCATGATGAATACCAACTTAAAAAATCACTAAATCCCCACAAACCCCAAATTCAATTGGTCTAGTACTCATTGGTGACTAGTTTCGAGAGATGATTCCTGAAGTTCCAATAAAAAGTCATGACCAGTGAGACAAACCTGGTGGCCATGAGGGAAAATACTGGACGATCATATTGGGTGATGGTCGTGGTATGTCGTGAACTGTTAGAAGTAGGAAATATGGACCATTGGACTCCTGCCCAGTGGCTAGATGACAATGTGGTGGTCACGGAACCTGAAGGTCCTGGGTTCGATCCGTGGTGGTACGGGGTCGTGGGTGGACAGTACTGGAGAGTCCCATACTAAGACGAAACAGTTGTCCAGTGCTCCCAGGTTTTCAGTATCCTTCCAACTGATGTCAGTCCATGATGAACACCAAATTGACAAGGAACATCAATTTTTTATGCAAAAGGTAGTTTCCTTTTTAGTCGATTAACTAGTATTAGCAGTTAGTGACTATTAAAAATTCCTATTTTCATTTCAGGTAAGTTACTTGAAATCAGTCTGTTAAGTAATTGCAATTGTTCAGTGGTCAGCTGGATAGGTTGCATTCGATTTCAACACTTATGTAAAGGGGGACCAAGGATGTTTAGCCACTTATCTAATACATGGATGTGCTTGAATATATCTGTCATTTCAATCATGCCTCATATGAATAGAGTATCCCATCCAAAGCACTCACTCGTCGAAACCTTAGGATATCACCTAGGTGAAGTAAAGTGCGCTTTATGCCGTAGTTGTAACTAGCTTAAAATGACATGCACTATGCTCGCGAATCTGTTGGTTTCAGAATATTCGAAATGTAACATCAATGTTATACCAACCAAAAAAATGAGAACAGTAATATCCGAAAAGCATAATTGGTCTTATTATTTTGTTTATTTTCAAAGATATTTACCTTAAGACTTATTTTACAGTGCTTATTTTGTAGTAGTATTGTATAACTCAGCTAAAGAGCTGTGTATCAACTCCTCACGATTCGTCGGTACGAAATAACTGACTTTTGAAGACTATCAATTATTGTTCATAAGTCCGTTTTCCATGTATCCACTCTGTCATTTGATTTTTAGGGATCACAGTACGCTGCGCAACAGGTAATTCTGTTGCATATATGTGTATGACTCGGAGGATGAATGGTAAGAAGGATAGGTATCATCTGTATCTTATATCTATGATACGGAGGTTGCAGGGTGAAGGACCTTTAAGACCAGCCTAACAACTACGAAAATAAACAAATGTTTCCATATCTTATGAAAGACCACCTTTTTAGTCAATATAAAGAAACCTAATTGGTTATCCCAGCTGTTGTTAGGGTGACCTTTAGAGTTGTCCATCTTTTGACTAACCAATAGGTAAATTTTATTTGCCAAAAGTTTCAATTATATGCATCACTAATCTCATGCCCAGGTTGGCCTTGTAGCCGAAATAGAGAAATCACGAGGTCAGAGTTCTATCATTATGCATTTCTCACAATCAAAATCACAAAAATATACTAAAAATGACCCAAGCATTTTCGGGACACAGTCCTAAAAAAGCACATTGGTTGACGTTGATAACTTTTTTGTTTGCAGAAGTTTAATAAATGCAATTGATCGTGATTATGTCTGAAATAAGACGAAATAATCCCACAACAATGTGGATTTAGCAAATCAAAGACACCAAACATCTTAGACGTTGTGTACGAGTGACATCAAGAAATGTACGATACAAATTAGCTGAGTCAAGATTCCGAAGAGAAAAATGCCAGAGTCAAAAAGTACAAATGAAATATATATTACCAGAATACTTATAAAAGCATTCATAACGTTTTTGCTTACATTATTCGGTCATTGACTGGACTGCTAGCCACTATTCATCATTACTATAAAATTGAAACGACAGACAATATCGTGGCATCCACACAAGAGCTCAGATGTCAATAGAGACTGATCGATTCGGTCCAATTAGCGACAGAATAATACAAGCAACAACATAAAAACTATACCCGTCTCACAAGAAGTGGCTGTCGTGACACTGTGGCCTAGTGGATAACGCTCTGGAGAATGAAGTGATCATTCCCGAGTTCCAGTCTTAGTGGGGACAACATCGCTCACTAAGAGGCTGGTGCATCCAACTGGCAAGTCCTTATTAGGACGAAAAGTGCGTTCTGGATTTCACTGCTAACCACTATCCATCATTTTAAAAAATATTCATAGTTAATTTTGGCTTGCTTTACGTTACGAAAAAGTTTGTAGTACCATAGACACTAAGTTCCACTCTTAATTTTATCTCATAAAATTAAAAGTCAGTTAGTATGTTGTATAATTACTCAGGAACTGCAAAGTATGTTTTCATAACACTCCGTAATACAACAAAATTTTACTTCATCTGATAAATTTAGGTTAGAAGGTGACCGGTACTCCAGTTTTTTCACTCACAATCCCTATGTTAGAACACATGGCTAAGCATAATATTTCAAATGTCCTGGTCAGCAAGTTCAATGTTCCAGGATGAGTTCACCAGTTGAATAACGACCTCCATAATATAGCATAGATTTAGCGTGTTGACTTTCAACCAGTGGGGTCAATGGTTCGAACACCGCTCTGTTTACTGAGGTTTGGGCAGCCAGGTAGTATCATTAACCCTCACACAATAGGTGTGGCTCACTACCTACTACATGGGTTTGCAAAAGGTTGCTGAGTGGATTTCGATTTTTTTTCTAACCGAAACTATTAGATCTCAGTTCTGTTTACTTTATGTTATCGAGAGAAACAACTGATGCTGACAGAAGATAGAAAACTGTTAGGTATATTTAGCTTACAGTATTCATAGGATACGTTTAGAAACAATATGTACCAAAGTTACGTGAAATTAATCCTTTGTAGATAAAAGAAAGTCATAATGATACTCAGATTGGTAATATACAGTTTTCAACTACCTCAACTCTACCAACACTCACCCAACTAATTAGGCGTACATCAGGTATTTTCAGTTATGTACTACAGCTCACTACACTTGCCATCTAGGGATAACAAAAAGCGTGTATTATATTTATCAAAGCTGGTGATCCAATCATTAGTTGCATTTTGTACATCCAAACTTTTCCGAATAAATAAAATTATATCGCTTACTTATTCGACTGTACTGCTTTCCTATTGATGATGAATTTATGTGTAAACTATGAACAGTTTTGGGTTATGATTTTACAATATCTTCAACAAAAAGATGTTCAAAGAAGGATGAAATCTCACGACCAGTGTAACTTAACTGGTATTCCGTGTGCACTTCATGTAATTAAACGACTAAATCTTCCAACATGACATTTCAGACATCTAAAGATTCCCATAACTAATAAAAAGCAACAATCTGAAAGAAGAATACTCTTTTCAATAAATTCACATCACCTTCTACAATTATAAAATGTATTTGTACAGCGTAAAACCAAGACAAGTTGGGGGCGAATACATTTAATAATAATAATAATAATAATAATAATAATAATAATAATTATTATTATTATTATTATTATTATTATTATTAGTAGTAGTAGTAGTAGTAGTAGTAGTAGTAGTAGTACCACTCCATTCCAGACATGTATAGTACATTGCAGGAATTCTCAGAATATAGTATTTCAACAAACTCATTCCCTGTGCAATATTTTTAAACGAAATAATTATTGCACATTCGTTTCTGGTCTGGACTAGTGAGTAAGTAGAAAATAGAGCGAAATTCCGGTGGTGGTATCTTATTTAACCGGTACGGAAATCTGCAGTTCGACATACCTATCCCAGAAACAGCAATGTGCTGCATCTTTGTGTATTTATAAGTCCATTTCTTACCAGTTTTACCGTTGTTGTTGGCTTGAAAAACTACAGTTTGAAAGCGAGAGTATATAACACGTTTAAAAGGCACAATTAGAAGATTAAAAGGTAAAAAAGGTAAAAATATGAAAAAAATATATTCGGTGGGAAATTTTCGGTACCCCCATGTTTAACCAGGTCCTCATGTTCAGTTCAAAATGAAGTGTGATTTAAGGGCTCCAAGGAAATTGAATTTTAAAAAAATAAATGTCAACATTAGAATGACAATATATAAATCAACAATGTGGTGGATAACGAAAAGACAACGAATAACGAAGACAGGAGTGGCCTTTAGTTTACTGAAGGCCAAGGGAGGAATTACATTTGAAAGTGATCTTTCTGAATGCACAGTTCAGGTTTGACCAACTTTATGATGACAGCCTCAGCTATGCTGAGCAGAAGCTGACGAGCTACACATGGTATTGTTATTTGGATACGATGTATAAGATTGAGAGCTTTATTAGCATCTATGTGATTCCCTGTGTCTACCAGATGCGGTAAGATGGGACTTTTCACCAATTTCACTTCAACCTTTCCAAACCAAGTTGGTAAATGCTGTCGTATTCAGAGACGCATCTGCCTAAACGTACACCTTATACAACTTGTTTCATATAAACAGTTAAATTGATATATGAAGGATGAAGAGTTAAAATTAGGTAGACTATCCTTTAGTCTCGGATTGAGCATTAGGCGACTACTAAAAGATATGCAAAGCTGACCTGCATAAAATGTCCTATTGACTGCTCTATCTGGACATTGTGATAAGATGTTACTTGGAACGTCTCCATTGAATTTCAAACGCAGAAACAAAGGATGTTTCTCCACTGCCATCAGTTTTTAGTCAAGATCAGTGTAACTGACCTTAACTTTGATGAACTTCTCCGGATATCCGTTTCCACTTAGAACATCACGGACACAAAGTAGTTCTTCTACCACACACTCCTTGGAATAGATCGATCTTACTCTAAATTCCAGGCACCTGATTATATTACGTTTGTACTTCGTCAACACGAAGCTGAGAGTGTGTATACTATGCCTTAGACGTTGGTTTCCTATATACGCCTCTCGGTATAGTGCCATTTTTCTTGTCACTGAAAAGAATATTCTTCGTTCAGATTTTTCCAACATAAGTTTATCATGCGTATCCCAGTGAATAGAGAAAAATACCGAATTTGAGTCACTAAAGAACTCTAACTAACAGCTTCTGGGTTGCTGACTTAGTGCTCTCAACTAACTTAGCTACCAAAAGAAGCTTCTAAAGAGAACTCCAATTCACTTCAGTGATCCAGTTTTATATATATACCATGTGAATGAGTAATCAGTAATTGTCCATTCATTATCACCACATTGATTGCCTAATCAGATGTAATCTTCTCATGTCAAACTGAGAAGAAACAGAAAACACAAGAGAATGACAGGTTTTGAATAAAGGGTTTGATAAACAATTGGTTGGGCATCTGATCTTTATGTGTAAACGGATGACGATTAAGTATCTGGGTTGAACCACATCACAACTGGTGCTCTTTCAATTTCAATCATTGTCCCTTCACACTGAGTCCGGTAGTCTAATCAAATCAGAAAGTTATGTTTGGTATTGTTTCCTGTCAGCTATATATTAATATTAAGTGTAACTATCAAAATATGTCCGCAAAAAATTACCATCAGGATATAAGAAAACTACGAGTAGTTCGGCGAAGAGACTGTTTTGAGTAATTTTATTCTTGAAACTGTACAATCACAACAACATTTTCACCGAACAAAATTGCATATAAACATTAAAGTCCACACACTAGGATTGTTAAAATAAATAAAATTTGATATCCTAGTAAAAATTTCGGTGAATAACGTAAAGATTCATGTTAATATAACATGTTCATCAATCAATGGAGAACATCGTACAATTCTTTAGAGCTAAATAGTCTTCTTTTCATCACATAATTATAGTGAAGAATAGAAAAAAGGTGAACATATTCAGCCAACTAAGGGATTTTGTTATTTGATACTCGTAATTCCCCGCTGCTATACAGGGTCGAATTGCTTGACCTCTGTTGGCAGATGGGCTCCTACTCTAATGCCTCGATACTGCCGGATATTTAAGACGTCTTGGTGACTAGAAGTAGAATCCAAGACGTGCGCTTCTTTCTATTTGGGATTCATCAGCTGCATGTACCTGGATAGCAGTAAGTGACCTTGTCCCTACTGAGACTCGAACCCAGTACCCATCGCTTTGGCTTTTAAAGCAATAAGCACTGGGTTCGAGTCTCAGTGGGAACAACACCATTCACTGGGGTGCAGATACATCCAACTGAATTGTCACAAATAGGACGAAACGCATGTCTTGCATTCCACTACTAGTCACCAAGAAGGATGCAATAAATAAGGTATACACTAACCATCACGGTTATAATTTATTTTTCCTCGTGAAAAAGAGATGTAGTGAATGCAATAGTGCTGTTGACATTTTTTTCTAAAATAGCTTGTCTGAGGTGGATATCACTGATGCAGTTTGAAACTAACTGAGACTTATTTGCGCTTACACATACATATCTTGATCACAGATAACAATAATCACAGAAGCGAGGTCGTCTACCTCAATATTGAATTGCTAAAAAATGGAGTACGTCAGCTTGTTAATACAGTGTTGTCGCATGATAGTGGCTATAACTGACTGGCTTTTTGACTTAGACCCTATCCCATCAACCATTAATGCTTTTTGTAAACAACGTAAATCGATACCTATGTACAGATCTGTATATTAGCGTATAAAATTCAATTACTGATATAACCTAACTAGGTGCATAAACCTTAGTAAGCGGAATAGGATTGGAATCCTTAACCAACTTGGCAGAATATCGGAATGCTTAAGTTAATGAACCATATTCCTATGAGAAAAAGTGCAATTGTAAATCACTTAAATTATTGAAATAACAATGAATTCCCTCTTTGTTTAAACAAATCTTATTGTTTCTCTTTGTTGTTACAGTTATCTAAATCCTAAAATGTGGCATGTACGAATGGCAACTGAAAAGCTGAGTGTAAGTCATAAATTAGCTGATTGATTTTTATCAATCAGTACTTAAAACAATAACTTCAAGAATTGAAAGCAGTTTGATTTTTCTTAATATTCTTGTGACAGACTTAAGTATTAATCAACAAGAATAACCGAAAACGAAAGGTAACTCAGTTTTTACATAGGGTGGAACTATAGACCTTGAGATCACACGCTGTTTTCGGAGACTAAGTGGAACATTCAACCGTTTCAACGGTCTAAGCGTCATTTGTTTATGATTGTGTCTTGGAGTTTAGTTTCATGTCTAAACTGGTTGAAAATACAGAATGGTCATCAGTATGTACTTGGTTCATTTCCAAAATTCTTTACTTATACGGGTTTCATGATTATTACCATTCAAATGTTGGGAACTGATCAGAACATTCATGATTAATGTACTGTCCATCATACTGTATGCGATAGTGTTTTGCATACAATCCCTCATTATCGACAATTTTATGGAATATTAGCTGCATTACCTTGGTTAACAGATGGATCTATACGTTGCAAATAGATGGCTGAAATTTTAGGAAGGTCTGTCTACTGGTAACATCGAAAGAGGTGACACTTAAGTTACAAATATGGAACCCAATTGCCTGATTTGTAATACTGAACTTCTAATCATATCTCAGTTTCAAGTTAATCATTGAGCATTGTAGCCAAATAGTATGTCTGTGAGAAATAGAAAACTATAACCAAACTAGCTGAATGCATGACGTTTGAGATTTCATCCACTGGATCAAACTCTTGTTCAATGAGGAGATTCCTAAAAAATTCTCGCAAAACAATTCATTTATATTTATTTACATATAAAATTTACAGGGATCTTCACTTCGGTGAACACCTAGTAACGCTTCAGATACTCAGAACACTAACCACAATAAGACGCTCAAAACTGTCGAGTAGTGAAAGTTACTACATAGACATTTTAAAATGTTTGTGGATTTTATTTAAGTAATTGTATGACGAACCAGTCACTCACCGACCTTGCTGATAAGTGCTAATCATTTGGATGATACCTTTTTCGTCAAAAACCTTTAAAATATTTAATTTTGCCAGATTTAATTCTCGTATATAAACAAAATTCCCAGCATTCTAATCGTAAATATGAAGTAATAGTATATCAGTCACTATGTTTCGTGTGACGTAAATGATAACACAAAATCAATCTTGTACGTTATAAAACTCGACAACTTATAGTCAGAAATAATAGCTATTAGGAACGTATGATAGTAAATTATCGACTTGCAATCCTATGGTACAACTATTGGACTGATAAAATGTAATACACTTCTTGGTGGTACCTATCTGGCAAGAGGCCTAGTTGATAAGGATTTCTAGCAATTTGGAATCCGATTTGGAGGTTTGTGGGGATCCATTTGTTGATTTCATCCTGGTATTCATTACGGACTGACATCAGCTGGAAAACCACTGAAAATCTGGGAGTACTAGACAGTGTTGTTTCGTCGTAGTATGGGACTCTTCAGCAGTACGTACCCATGACTCCGCTAAAGATTCCACGGTTGGTGAAAAACTACGCTTTTCAATTACATTCATATTTCCAATAGAGTCGGTAAATTCAAAAGTATCACAGAGAGTGTACCTAGGAGGTCCTAGAATTTTAGAAAACCACTTCGCAGTCGGATTATAGTGCATTCTTAACACAACCATAACTGGATAGAGAAGTAGGTCAGCTTTGTGAACTTTAAGTAGACCGTAAACTTTATCAGAAATGTCTGCAACGCCTATCTGCAGTAATTTGAAAAAGAGTCTATCAGTAGTCTGTTTGACCTCCATGCATTGTATTAAGCATCCAAATCGTTCAGCCGAAGGTAAAATAATACCAATGTCATTTTATTACCTATCAGTGTAAATGTCGAAACAGTATAGATTTCCAACTGGATTTCTTCCCATGTTCATTTCTCAAGAGAAATGAAATAAATCACACTTACTGCTACGAATGAAACTAGCAGATATGAACTCATCTTTTGTGATGGTGATCTAAAATTGTACGCTTCAGCAACAGTTCTTAAATCGTTAACTACTCAAATATTTCTTGCCGTCAACGGAGATGAAAATAATAACAACAGCTGTTCAAGTCAGTTGGACTATAACATGTCCTCAGTGTACTATGGTAGAAAACGCTTTGCAACATCATTTCATTTCCCAGTATTTGTATGTTAGATCTGAGCAACCGACGACGAATAGCGAAACATGAAGTATACCAACAGCTTAGCACCTACAACTCACATTGACATCAGTGGGACAACTACCTGAGATTAAAGATGTGTTGTTTTAACACGTAGGCAGACTACTTGGACACAACCTTGAAGTTATATCAGTAATTTAAATAACGAATATGCAACATTTAAATTCTCAAAATCACGATCGTTGTAAACTAAAAAAGGCGAACTACGAGTAAAAACCTACCTTGAGAAAGATTCCGTTCAGTGTACAAATATGTAACCAGCTAAAATACAGTGAAAATTCAACAGCCATTGATCCGGATGTGGAGACCTCAGATACGGTAGAAAGTATTCTGTTATTAAACCTGAAGTGAAGCTGCATGTGTCCATCAGCATCCTTCATGACTATTTATGAGGGGCAGAATTATGGTGTTCTCAGAATGACAGAACTTTGGTTGGAATACATAAGGAACAACGATCGAGACATGAACCGAAAGTGACACTAACTGGCCACCCAAACTTCGGTAGGTGGAGCAGGGCTCAAACCTGTGACCCATTGATTGGTAGTCACCTCCCAAAATCCCTGGGCCACAGTTATACACAGACAGAAGTGAAGAAAGTGGATGGTGGTGGTGACAGACTATACCTGTTACCAAGTGAAATTATTTTCGCCCTCCAGTAAAAGGACAACATCGTTTTATTGTGCAACTACACACAGTCCTCTCATATCACACTCAAACATTTAGTGACAAGTGTCGATAAGTACAGCATATGATCTGTACCATCAAATTGCAGAGTGCTTCTACAATATTGGTAGGAGAATGTGCCAACTATTATCCCTTGGGTGTGAATCTCTGCAAGTCGTCGAAATATCTGTATACCTGGATATTTCTGTGAATGATGGGCTTTCCAACCGCATATAAACAACGAGAACGGTATGTATATTCACAGGAGCACTTAGCTTTTAATTTCCAAGTGCTGTTTTCAGTCAGTAAACAATGACATCATATATTTATTTGTCTTTAATCGACACTTCTATACCTCTTGATATTATCCAACAAATATTAGTAAGCTCCATTCTAACGAAACTACCCTACACTATATACTAAAAAGCTCATCCTAAATAACCAGATAAACAATATTAGTCTCGCGCAGTGAATGTACAGCAAGACGAAGTGTATACAAATTAAAAGGGTTGTGTGGAAAAGCAATCCAGTTAGTTACCACTTAAACACAACCATTTCCTAAGAAGAAATTCAGACATGAACATTTGCTAGTGAATTACATGACACATATCAACCAAACAAAAGTTTAGTTTTAGTATAATTGTTTTTATATCATACCGTCGCTGATTGGACCGAAATGATCGGTCTCTATTGGCATATGGGGTCCTGTGCGAATGTCTCGATATTAATTGTGTTCTAATTATATTACTGATGGATCGTAGCTAGTAGTAGAATCTAGAATGTGCATATCGTCCTATTTGGGACGAAGTTTCAGAACAATTCTTTATGAAATGGATATCAGTCTACAGGTTTCAATAAAAGGCATATATAATCAGAAATCGAAAAGAAAATAGTGAGATTTCATGTGGATAGTAAAGGAAGAATAGTAACCCAACAAGATCCATTTATTAGGGTTTTGATGAAACAGCCGGTCCCAAGACGATCATAGCTCCGATCCCTCACTGGGCCAGCGTACAAACAGCTAAGGAGATTCAAGTTAGGGTGGAAGACTTATCTGTTGCATTCTGACTGTCAGAGATTGTCTGGCTGATATCGACCCATGATGAAACTACTTGGAAAACAAACATTTCCGTGAAATTTAATCAGAGGCTGCAGAAAACAAAAGCGGAGACTTCGAAGTAGCACAATCAAAGGACTTAAGAAAGCACTTCCCATACTTACTAAGAGGTAAAGTAAAAAGTCTTTACCAACCACACGACCGATTTCACAACTACTGTTTATTGCCTCCCAATCAACAAGCTTAAAGTTTCTTACAGGATTCAGACTATCAGCAACAGACTACAAACACTACTACCATTTTGTCCAAGTTTAACGACGTATTGGACTCTTCTTAGCCACCGATCGACTATAATTAGAGAGGTTTAGTTATAGGAAAGACAGATTAATGTAGAACCTAACACAGAAACCCACAGCTTTGAATTGACACATTTCATAGCAGAATGCAAAGAACAAATAAGTAGAATAAGAGTCATAACAAAGTAAACAAAAATGAATTGGAGAGAGAAATAGATGAAGGCCAGTGAACAGTCAAACTTTAAAAGAGATCAAGGAGTGAATATATCTGCGCCATTGTGACTAATTTTCAGCCATTTCACCAATACTCCAACTATTGATCCCTATGGTCTCAGGGACCCCAACCAAGTAATTTAAACTTCACCACACAGCTCAGCCTAACAGTCAGGAACTTCATGCACTGGTGCCACCTTCTGACCTGTAGACTCTGAGCTTTTCTCCAACTTAACCCAGGTTCTAGCACTGTACGTAGGTGTAGGAGTTGGCTAAGCATATGCAATACATGTCCGAATCATCCCAGTCGCTGAAGATTCATAAAATCATTGAGCGCCTTTGCTTTTCTTCGTCGCGCCTTTATCCTGACATCTACATTGTTCACATACGTGAGTAGTGATACGAAGACACATCGTTCAAAACTGTGTAGTCTCTTCACGTCTATTTTCAGCGGCCATATCTAACAGCAATGTGATAGGAAAAGATAACCTGCAGAGAAGTATACTCGTCCTCTATTAAGTCGTCGGATATCTCGGCAGCGTCACAGA